TTTCGCTAGCTTATCACTAGAACTCGCTCGAGCGACAACGGCAGAAGATGACCCGCTCGCATATTGCTCGAGTGCTATCTTTTTGAATTTTAAAGCTATTTTCAAGGGTTTCACGCATTTTTCTCAATTTTTCCTTTGATTTCTCCACATTTTTCATCACCTAAGTCAAAATAGAAGTTTGTCTACTCAATTAACACTTCAATTATTTCAATGGACGTGATATTTCATTTAAACTCCATTCTTCAAAGGTAAACGTTAATTTTTGTGGTTTTTCGCTATTTTTGCTATTTTCGTTGGATTTTTACATTGTTTGTCCATTCTTGAGTGAATGTTTGACATTGCATGACATGTTTAGGACCATGTGATAGTTCATCATCAATTTTGCACGATTTTACAACTCCCATTGAGGTTCTTGGATTTCTTGGCATAATTTTGGCATGATTCATTGTGCATTGTAGTTCCTTGAGTTCATTGGACGTGTTTGTGTGTTGATTGTGGTGTTGGTGAGTGGTGATTGGAGTTGTGAACGTTGGGATGATTGTTTTGGAGTATATTTTGGATTCAAGTCAAGATTGTTTGTTTGTTGCTCGAACTTGGGAATGCGATGGCATAAGTGGTTGTTTGTTGATGTCGGGTTTTTGATTGAAAGAGTGTTTGTTTTTGAGTTGGTTGTGCTTGGTTGGCGTCTCACGGTGATGTCACATCACCACGTCATGTCATCACGTCACTCCGTCTAGGCACCGCGTCCCTACGTCTTGATGTCACGTCCTTGGGTCCTATACTACGTCACGTGTCATGTCTTCACGTGACTTACGTCTAGGCATCACTGCATATCATCATGCATTCACATTAGGGCACGTTGCATGTCATTTTCTTCACCTCGTTTTGCGTGCATGCATAATAAGCCTTTCATGATTTAGTTTGTCATATCTCGAGGTTTTGATTTTGAGTTTCATTTCTTTCAGATGTCACCTAAGAGAGCACGCATTTCTACTTCCACTCCTAGCACTTTGACTTCTTACAGTCGAACTAGGTTCATTTATGCTATTGTCCAGATGTGTTTGGGTCGCAGTTTTTCATTCGCCCTGTACTCTTTGAGTGCGAGGTCATCATGTCTAACCTTTCACCTGACCTTACTGCTATCTTCACTTTCCGGGCTGGGAACCACTTTTGGTTGAGTTGACGTCTCCCTTAGTCTGTTAGTTCAGGAGTTTTACGTTAACATCCATGGTGTTACTGGCTCTTCTTTTTGGGTCTTCCTTCGGGGTCGGGTAGTTAAGATTACTCCGAACGTCATATCGAGTCTTATTGATATTCCGAGAGTCGTCTTCCCCATGTTTTCATATCTTACTCCCGATTCACTTCATTCGGACACCTTAGTCCGTTCCACGGTGTTTAACACACCGATGGATGGTGGTCCTAGTGCAATGCACACTCTTTCTTTACCCACTGACAAATCTGTGGCCAGTTTCTCACACTTCTTCATTACCTATGGAGAATGCTCGTTTTCTGGACGCACTGCTGAAAGGTGATTCCATTGATCTACCTACTTTCATTTGTCAGCATATTTTGCTTGCGTTCCAAACCACGGGGATTCGGGTTGGGCTACCTTATACTTGTCTCATCTATAGGTTAGTCACTGCCCTAGGAGCTAGTTTTCCCGGTGGGGTTCCACTGCGAGTTTCTCGGCCAATTGGCTATACTACCATAGCCTAGAGATAGGTCTCATGCTTCATCTGAGCCAACACAGCTCGTTGACCCGGCTGTGCCGACTGATCCTATTGATGACATCATTTCTTTTGACTCTTCAGATTTTCCCTCATTTTCTACTGCTTCTTCCCCCTCGGACTTCCCGTCGACTTTGGCTTCGGCCTCTCTTCCTTCGGTATCAGTACCTCCTCCTCCTCCCTAGTCCGATCCTTCTGTGTCTGCTCCCATCGACCCTCAGTAGCTCTCTTGGGATAGATTACCATGCTGATCGAGCAGCAGGCTCTACTGATGGCAGAGATCACACATCTGCGTGTTACAGTTGATAGACACACCGTCGAGTTCGCCACACTTCGAGGTGCTATCAGATACCTTTGGCGTGAGATTCAGTAGATTCATCGCCACTGTGATGATGCTTCTGAGGAGAGGACTGACTCTGATGATACTGTCGGTGACTCTTAGCTCTAGGCTTCTCCTTGTCATTATACGACAAAAATGGGGAGTAGATATTGATGTAGCAGTATTTAGGGATGGCAAAAAAGCTCGTCGACTCGGGCTCGGCCCAGAAAAAGCTCGAGCCGGGTCCGACTTGGGCACAGGCTCGAGCTCGAGCCTACCGTGGCCTGGGCAAGCCGCCCATTAGAAAAAAAAAATTAAAATTAATTTTTTTAAAAGGAGCTGCCTACGCAGCTTGCTTCCTTTGCAGGCAGCTAAAACTAGCTGCCTTTGCAGGCAACTATCTTTAGTTGCCTGCAAAGGCAGCCAGTCTGCCTGTTGCAGCCTTCAAAAGCAGTACAGGTAGCCTGTGCTGCCTGTAACCTTGGTTGCCTGTTGCAGCCTTAAAAAAATAATTCAAAAAACCCGAGCCGGCTCGGCTCGCTAAGGCTCGGGCCAAGCCTCGTTTTTTTGACCGGACTTTGCTAGGCTCAGTTTGGGCCCAAAAAACTTGGCCCAAAAAATCTTTTTTGGGGCTCGGCTCGAGTCAGCTAGGGGGAAGGTAGATAGTAGATTCTTGTTGATGTTTAGATATGGCATTTCAGTTCGCTAAATTCAGTCTTTGATGTTTTTGTAGTGTCATTGTTTCGTTTTGATATGTTGGGTTCCATTGATACTGTGTCTGAATTTAACAATGAGTTACAAAAGTTCAAATGATTCGTAAACTTAAACTGTTGAACTATATTTATTATTGATTCTGTTTTCCACACATTTTACACTGGGTATTTGAGTCGTCTATTTCAAGAAACAAGTATTGAAACTGAAATAAGGATTTTATTCAAGACATATTTAACTTAAGTCATGTTTTTCAGTCTACAATTTTCATTTGATTACTGCATTGACTTAGTTTGTAATTTTGTCACAGAATGCCAAAGAAAGAGTTTGTTAGGTTTCAGATTATTTGTAATTGGCAATTCATATTGTAAAAGTTCAAGGAGTTATGTGAAAATACGTTGAAAATTGGATTATTAAGTCTAAGGTTCGAGAATGGTAAAAGTGGAAAACGGCGCTAGAGTGTCGCCAAGGTTTGGCTCGAGCTACAAAACCAGAAACTCCATTGCTTGACTGTCGGTGAACCCTCACTCGAGCTACAGCTTTATATGGAAAATTTTTATTTCGGGTTTTAAAGGCTTTTTTATGGCCTATTTGTTTTACATACCTATAAATACCAAAACATATTTGAATGTGTTTTTAAGGTTGATAATTGAGAGAACTTCATTTGAGAGAATTAATTTAATTCCCACTTTCAACCTTCATCTTGTTTGTATGTTTTGGAAAGAAAAACATCAATTCCATAATCCAAATTCCAAACTGCTGGTCTTCTACATCTGATCAGAGTTCTGAAGATCAAAGAAGTTTGACTGGAGTTCCAGTCTGTGAAGAACGTAGTGTTCTTCGTGGATTCACTGGAGATAAACAACTTCACAAAGTTGGGAATTGTTGTAGGAGAGTAGAATCTAGGAGAGCTTTGGAAATTGCAACTGGGAGTGGTGCAGGAGCACAGAAGCCTGGAATGCTGTTGGAAGTGCAGTTAGGAGATTAGATAGTACATGTCGTCCTCTAGGCTGGTAGACTGTAAGTTGCATATCTTTTATAATAAATTGTAGACTGGCAAAGTGCCCGTAGTTTTTTTCCCAGTTGGGTTTCTCCGTGATCATTCCGGTGTTTGATTTACTGCTTTACTATTCATTGTTTATTATACAACTGTGATAATTCAACCTAGAATAAATTGACTTGAATGTTGAATCATCTAGAAAAGAATATAAAAGTGACTTGTTGATATTTAATACGTAAAAATATTTTTAATTTCGCATATAATACCTATTAACCCCCTTTAGGTATTGTTNTATTGTTAGGGTCGAACTGCGTAACTTTCAGCATATATCATGATATAACAAATTAATTCTTCTAGAAGATAATTTCAATTATAATTCAAAAATAAAATTAACATCATTTAAGTTTTATTTTACAAATCATCAATCCCATTTAAATCTCTGCTGCAACATAGCCCTAACAAATGGGAAGTGACATCAGAATTCTTATATTCTGCTTATCACCAAAAATTTATGTCCCAAAATATGTTCCACATTAGGTCATGTTCCAGATCCATTTACTTATATCGATAAGGACGGAACATTTTAACAATTCATATTGGGACAATAGCTCTTCCAACGAAGGACATTCCAAATCACCTACTTCAATATCAATACCCCCCCGTCGGTTCATCCTCCACTCCCCAATCACATCCATCCAACCCCTCTTCAATTCCATCTGTCACATTTCTGTCGTACAATTCATCATCGCCATCAGATGCAATGTCATTATCAGAATCTATGAAGTTTGGATCCTCAACATATCCTGTCACAAAATCAAATAGCTACAATCAGAATTGAAACCTTCAATTGAAAAAAACTCTTTGTCACTCAAAATGCAAAAAAGGATTTGAAGAATATGAAGATTAACTACTGGAATGTAAGAAATCATTCTTAAGTCACGATTGATGTTAATGGAGAAGTGGGAGTTTTTTTTTTTTTTTTTTGCCATTTGATTTCCTCAAACTGCTGCTATTTGTCATGCCAAATAGCATGCCTTCACAGTACGACAAAAGAGCAACGACATTGTGGAAAAATTTCCTTCACTTTCTTCGTTATCCATGTGCAAGCTTGCTCTGGCAACCTTTCCTAAACCTAGCAAACTGAAATCTGTGTTCGTAATAGCTTACTGGGAATGCCAAAAATCGCAAAAATTGATTCCCCTTTTAGTTCGAGCTCGATTTGGGGATTGCGGATTTGAGGTCCATGGGTAGAAATTTCGAAGGTAGAAGAGTTGATTTTGTGATTGGATTGTATTTAGGGGCTAGGGCTACCGTTTTGTCGAGAAGGAGTTCATTTTCTCACTGTAGGTAAGGGGCTGTTTGGGAGATTTTTGGGCCACGTGTCTTGTAGGTTACCATTTTTAACAGCCAACTCAGCATTCCGTCTTCCACGTCAAGTTATTTACGGACGGAATCCATTCAGTGGCCGTTTAGGTGAAACGGAGATGAGTTCAATGGGTATTTGGAAGCACTGTAAAGTTCAATGGGTAGTCCGTGACGATGGGTTAGTTCAGTGGCCAATGAAACAATTAACTCCCACATGGGCGACCAACCACCCGTATTTTTGTAACTTATTCAATTATAGTATTTTTCCATATATTTATATCTAATAAACACATTCTTCCCAAAACCAACTTTCATAAAAGCAAACTTCTAATATCGTTGGCTAACTGAAAAAAGTTCGAATAGAAGTAAATATATTTTAAAATAAACAACTTTTTATTGGTCAAAATTGTAAATAAACAAGTTACGTACTTTAACACTTAAAAGAGAAAAAGAAAAATTAATTTACCCGAACATATTTGGAAACAAATTAAAATTTGGGACATTGTCCTTTTCTAGTTGTCAATGATTCTTCTTCTCAATTTCACTTCTCATTTTCTAAGTTAAAAGGTGACATTACACTGCAGCTAATTGTCTTCTAATATGTACAAATTAAATGAAAAGTTAAACAGAAATTATTATATTTATTTTTGATAATCCTATGAGTAAGTACTAACAAAACGTGGGTGTGCAAAACTTTTTTCCTCTCCAGGACTCCCCTGAGTAGAGGTTCTTCTCTCTGCCTTCGTGCAGGTTTTTCCACGGCTCTTGCTCATAATTCCTCCATGGAATCTAATATTGCACAGATGTGTGCACAAATGTCCCTCACGGAACAGGAGGAAGCAGTGTTAGTAGTCGAAGAAGAAGAGATATTGACCCCTCACAGGAGTGATAAATGCCTATTGTTCAAGCTCTTGTCCGACAAGCATTTTAATAAGGAGGCATTCAAAAGTACCATGACACAGTTATGGCGCCCAAGCAAAGCTCTCAGCATTCAAGATATATCCCCTAATCTATTCCTGGCAGAGTTTGATGATATTGGCGACAAGAAGCGTGTACAACGTGAAGGGCCATGGATCTTCGACAAACATCTGGTTGTAACCAAGGATGTGGAAGGTCTTGAGCAGCTCCACAACATCTCCTTCACAGCAGCAAACTTCTGGGTCCGAATCTATGACCTCCCCATTATGATCCGGAATTGGAAGATGGGAGACTCTGTTGGCAGACAAATTGGCGAAGTTATCGACATTGACATAGATAAAAATGAGATTGCAAGGGGCGAATACATCAGAGTTCGGATCTGTCTTGATATCTCGAAGCCTCTTTTACGTGGCAAGAAGATCTGTGTAGGAGCATATAAGCCATTTTGGGTTCGCTTTGCATACGAACGCCTCCCAAATTTCTGCTACCTCTGTGGAAAAATTGGACATAGCCAAAAGGAGTGCTCCCTCTGGCGACCTTCAATGGAATCATACACAGTCTCTGATTTCTCATATGGTCCCTGGTTACGTGCTGGAAATTTTGGCGATTATGGTGGGCCTATTCGTGATCGCCAACTGAACCCTCCGGCTGCTAATCCTCC